TGTTGGCTACGTTGAGAAAACTGACTATAGCATGCCAGCCTTTATTGTTAAACCACACCTGGAAGAACAAAGGAGAAGAAGACTATAAATTTCAGCCAGTCAGAATCCTTTAAAATTCTGATTTTATCAGGAACAAACAACAGATTGGTGTATGTTGCCTAACTGCTCATGCTGCTAATGACAGCAACTAAAAAGTTTTCATATCTGTTTTATTTATTATTATAGGCACACTAGTACTCTGGGTTTTTTCCCCATAACAAATCAGGGCTAACTTTTTCCTCTTGTTCATACTTCAGCATTGGCTTATTTTTTGGAATTACAAGGAAAGCTGGAACTTTACTTTTTCTCTTTCTCTTTCTTTTTATTCAGTTTTTAATATTTAAATAGGGAAATCAGCAGAACTTTCTTTTTTCTCCTTCTTTGGTTTGAATAACAATAACAATGCATTAATATGCATGTATAGGGATGCTGAAAAGGCTTTGCAGAAGTCTGACCATTGAAGTTCCGGATGTATAGTATCCTTCTTAGGATTTCTAGATTTTTTTAAAATCTGGAACATATATAGGTAGTCTTCAACCTACGGCCACAATTGAGCCCAAAATTTTTGTTGCTAAGTGAAACATTTGTTAAGTAAATTATGCCCCATTTAAAGGCTTTTCTTGCCAGAGTTGTTAAATGAATCACTGCAGTTATTAAGTTAGTAATACGGTTGTTAAGTGAATCTGGCTTCCCCATTGACTTTGCTTGTTGGAAGGTTGCAAAAGCTGATCACGTGATCCTGGGACAGCTACCTGTCATAAATATGTCAATTGCCAAGCATCTGAATTTTGATCACTTGACCATGGGGATGCTGCAACGGTTGCAACTCTGAAAAATGATCATAAGTCACTTTTTTTCTGTGCTGTTGTAACTTTGAATGGTCACTAAATGAACTGTTGTAAGTTGTACTCGTACTGGTGTTTTGCAGTCTCAAGATGGATATAAGGTATGCATTTTTCATCTTGTTTCTAATATAAATTACTCCTGGCTGCTTATTAATTTGTTGGTATCATGGGATATTAAAGGATTGGGTGGATCTCCTTTGTGGAACCTTTTCTGAGACACATCTCCTTCTAAATAGGCCTGCTGATCTGAGCGCAAATTATCTAGACAAACATTACATGGAAGCAAAATGTTTTCAGTATCTCTTTGCTCCCATCTAGTGATCATCCAGATATGACTGGCTTATATTAAAGAACAATTACAGAATTACAGCATATCCATTGAAGCTTTTCCTTACAGAAAGCTTCAATGGATATGCTTACACAAGTGGTACATACAACCATAATGAAACCAGCCCATTACAGTCCTATGTCGTAAAGGGTCATAAAACAGGTAGATCATGTGACCAACCCGATTTTACAAACTTTTTGGGTAGTTGTTAAGTGAATGCAGCAGTTGTAAAGTGAACCAATGACTCACGATGGGCTTGATAAGAGCTGGTTACTAGATTATAACAAAATAATTTTACAGTACTATAAGATTAAATTTAATTTTCAGTACTATTCAATATTGCTGATTGTTGTGTGTTAATATCTGGAATAGTGTGTGTGTTTGTGTGTGCGTGCACATGTGCATGCGTATGAAAGAGAGAGAGAGAGAGAGAGAGAGAGAGATTGAAAAAAAGCACAAAAGAAAAGTGAGCAATCCAAACAGTTAGGGAGGTTATTTTGTTTCATAGAATTGTTCGCTTTCTTTTCTCTTCTCATTTTTTAGTTGTAATGTTACATTGCATAATTTTTATTTTTGTGCCTTTGAGTCAATATTGACTCCTGGTATTTGCCTGGAAAAGTCCTGCAGTTTTCTCAGCAAAATTTTGGAAGTGCTTTGCTCCTGGTTCTTTCCTAAGGCTGAGAATCACCCAGCTGACTTTGTGCCCAAGGCAAGACTAGAATTCAAAGTGTCCTGGTTTCTAGGTACCTTAATCATTATACCAGACCAGCTCTCATATTGTAAGAATATACCTGCAAAACCAATTTGGGTAATTTGGTATCACGCAATACTTTTTTTTTTAAATGCTGCTCTTCAAAGTCAGCAAGACATGCAATGTTTTGTAATGATTACATAAATAAACAGGTTTCTGAATCCAAGGCTGTATTGGCACGCCAATATGTTACAGGTCCCCAAACTATCTGTTAATAATTCATATGGATAATAATCCATATACTTTTATTAAACTTGTTCTATTCACTCTTCCATTTCCTTACTAAAAAGCAAACATCTCAATTGAATAATAACAAAAGTTATTATTCTCTTTAAATTAATGATCACTTTCAGTGATCGAGTTAGGCAAGATTTTATGAAAATAATTATTAAAATACCTTAATATTGTGTTCAGTTTCCATATATTTAAGAAAAGCTGACATTTCTTTAGCGACAATCATTGTTGTTTCACCCTAGACAACAGAAGGGCAAAGGATCAGAATTTCTTGTTTATATTTTAGTGTTATAAATACTAAATAAATTGTTAGATTTGGTGATAATCAGGTGACAAGGCAGACACAAGAGTTCTTTCTTACCCCTGTTATATTCATCATTCGACCAACGTCCCTCATAAAATCAACAATTTGGTCTCCAGTAATATGCAGTATTGGAAGTTTCCCTCCAATGGAAATTCCTCCATATCTAAATGCAAGATTATATAATCTTCAGTTCTATGAGGAGAACCATACTCCCCTTTTAAAAAATAACGAATACAATAAAAGTTTCCTTCAACATAATTATACAGTACCTCTCTCACAAAAAGGAATATGTCTATGGAGATTCTCAGTCCTCCAGGTCATGGTTGTCTCAAAGATGCTTTTTCAAAAGGTAACTGGACTGTTTTTATTGAGGAAGAAGAAGATGATATTTCAGTTCTTCTCATCCAAGAAGATTCATCTTCTTCCTCAATAAAAACAGTTCCGTCAACTTTTGAAAAAGCACCTTTGAGACAAAAAGGAATAGGATTCCCATTTTTTCATTGTTGATAGTGAATTGCACAAACAAAATAAATATAGGTAGCTCTCACCTAATGACCCTGATTGGGACTGGCAAGTCTGCCAATAAGCAAAGCAGTCACTAAGTGGGAAATCCCATGACCATGACTATGTTTTCTGGCTGGAAAGAGATAAAACTAATCAGTATCACAGCTTTGGCTTTTGTTTGCCTTCTAACCACTTCCCTGCCCTTTGGAATGCTCAAGTGCCTATTAGCAATTTATAGAGCATGCCTTTGGCTCCTAGGCCTGAGCTGCTGCTACAATGATATTGTTTTCAATGTGTCGAAGAGCAGTTTATTCTCTTGCAAACCCTTTCTCTCCAATCTCTGCTCTGCGAGATGGGATAAACAGATTAAGGGGAATAGAACAACACTGTAATAGTGATCATATGACTAAAGGATGCTGCAAAGATCATAAATGGTCATAAATGGGCTATAAAATTATTTTTTCAGCACACTGCTATATTTTTGAATAGTCACTGAAGAAAGTGAGAACTATTTGTATTGTTTCCAAACCAAGCATAGCCCTCTATTTGTATTTCAGACAAAATAATACTTAATCTTATTGTCATTTATTTGAAATCAAATTTTTGAGACTTAAAAAAAATCAACAAAAGATATATAGCACCTAGTTGTCCTACCTTTGCTCATTGACCCAATATTTACTCTTTAAGCTGCCAAGGAAAATAAAAACATTAAAAATGTAATAATCTTTAACATACTGCATTAATTAAAATTCTTTCAGATACAAAATTATATCTGTGCCATGAGGATCAGCTTGGGGATTTTGTGGCTATTCTGCTGACTGAGATGTCACTTTAGGAATTTATAAGCCTCTTCAGATGATTGGTGAAAAGGCTGAATCTATGCAGTCTGTACACTTAATCCCTGTTCCTACCACTATTTGTTCATTTGACCTGCATAGAAGCTATGAATGTACAAGTTATAGAAAATAATTCTTCGATGTGTATTTTGCTGTATAAATGAACATAATTAAACCTCACTGAGATTTTTTTTCAATAAAAAGCAGATGGTTAAAAGGCAAAAGTCTGTTATGGCCAGAAGCAAGCATAACAGACAAATAAATGTGTATACAGAGAAATACAAAAAAATAGCAAGGATTACATCGGTGGAACTTTATCACTGAGAAGTGTCTTTGATTGCACTGTTGAAGCTGAGCAGCAAAACACAGCACCACTACAAGTGGTCTCAATGTTTTTGTTACCTAGTAGGAAAGCTACATAATAGGCTTATCCAATTGCCCTTGAATTGTAGCATAAACTCAAATAAAAAGTGTGGTATAGTAGCACTTGTGTGACAGTTTCAACTTCCTTCATGCCTCAAGGCCAGAGGATAGTATTGTATTTCCAGTCCAATAGTGCAGATGGAAGGTTGTTGAAAAGTGCACTTGTGAAAGTCAAGCAATACTTAGATTTGGTCAGTTTACTAGGAATTAGCGAGAAGAGCCTCACAAAAACTGGTGAGCACTGTAACAATAATCCCTTTCATTTAAAAAAAAAAAAAACAAGTACTGGATTAGCTTTGATTATATTAATGTATTTATTTCTTTATAGCATATAAGCTCTTCTTTTCAATATCAAAGAGACAAGGCAGAAAAAATATACTGCTATGGCATATTTGTATTATGATTAGATGCAACTGGAAAAAACCCACAGAAAATTGAACAGCTGACTTGTTATTCAAAAGTACTTAGGACCATACCAACAATCCATTCATACAAACTGCAACAGATTCCTAGCTAGACTCATTCATCACACAAAGCTATTGTATAATGTATTCTTTTACTAGTTTTATGTGGGAACCTGCCAATATAGCTTCTGAATTGGAAAATGTATAAATAGAAAAGTCCCAACTAACCTGCTTCTTATTAGAGTGGGGTATGTTTTCACCAAGAAATCAGAAATATTTCGGTAAGTGAGATCCTGAAGAATTTCTGTACTATGCTGAACCCTCTATAAGATGAAGAAAATACTCATTAAATTCTTAGTGGTTATAATTTAGTATGTCAAAGATTCAGAGGCAAGAAAAGACCTCATAGGAAAGTTTTAAATTGAAAGGAATGTTATTTTACTGGAACCTGAAAGCTGCCTTTGGGATTTTATTTGTATATTTTGATTTCAAGCCACATAAAATAACTATAAGCCACATTGGATTTGCTGAATGCTTCAAAAGATTTGTAAGCAGGGAACGAAAAATGTTGGCAAGTGACATTTAAATCCTGACTTTTACTGTAAGACAGTTATAACAATCTAAACACACATATACATTTGTAATTTTAGTGAACAAGTACAACAGTCTTGTAGCACTTTTTAAAGTCTAATCAGTTTAATGCAACAGACTGTGGGTTACAAAAACTTACTTAATAATTGCTTAGTTTTTTAAGTGCCAGAACAGTCTTCATATTTCCTGTAATTTTAAATGAATACATTTTCTGAGATTGTGATAACTGAGTAAATATACAATTCTTTTGTAGTTAGCAAGTAAAATCTATGAAGAATGTGAATTTAACCACTGAGAGGCAGTGTTGCCTTCCTGTAACAAATACATGGGATTATTTTTCTTTGAAGTAATAGCAATTTTATAATCCATCCACTAACTTTTGGCAAAGCAGTTTAGAAATAGTTTCCTAATATATCCCTGCTTTTTAGAAGGAACAATTTATGTGATTATGTATTATTATTTTGTATTGACAAGGCTAAACAAAATCTCTGTATACCGTTAAAAAGAACTTATGATCAAAATTCCCATTACTGATGCCCTGTTATTGCAGTTTATCATCTCTTCGCAGTCTTTTCCAACCTGTGCTCATTCTGGATGGAATGAGTAACAGGGCTTTGGTAAGCTTTAGTTCCCAGGCTAGGAAAATCCCATGATACTTACATTCCTAAAATGTTCTTTGTCACTTCTGAACTAGAGCTTTGGAGAGTATTCTAAATTTTATATTATCATAATGTACTACTGTGTTTCCCTGAAAGTAAGTGGGTCTTTTTTGGGGGAGGGCTCCAAAAGAGGCACCAGGTCTTATTTTCGGGGGATGTCTTACTCACCTCTGACACTGACAGCCTCGGCCAGCAGGTCCACTTCTTCTGCTGCTGAAGGAGCAGCTTCATTCTGCAGCTGCATTCTGGCCTGCATTTTGCAGTCAGGCCTTTCCAGAGGTCTTGCAGAACTGAGCTATGGATTGAATCCATAGCTCGGTTCTCGGCTGCAGTGGCCTTCCGGAAAGGCCTGTGACTGAGAAATGCAGGCCTGGCTGCAGAAGATGTTGCAGAAAAAGTGAGCCAGAAAGGAGAGGCCTGGCTGCAAGGTAAGTGGGTGCGGGGCAGCCCCACCCTCGCATCCTCGCCCTAGCTTGATTTTTAGGTGTGTACCTCGCCCCAAAACTAGGGCTTATTTTGGGGATAGGGCTTATATTAGGCCCACCTCCCAAAATCAAGCTAGGGCTTATTTTCAGGGTAGGCCTTACTTTCAGGAAAACACGGTATACTACTTTAGATGCAATCAGAGTAGTAGAATTGATATTATCAGGTCTTCTCTACTTCTGTGCTGCCATCTAGAGGTCATCCAGATTTTGCAGTTGAGTAGCCCCTAACTTAATGTTCTATTTTTCCTTAAAAAATGCACCCCCCAAAAAAAATTTGTTTTAAAGGTTTCTAAAACTATTTCAGTAAATTATAATCAGCCCAGAGGACCTTTTGCTTTATTGATTTATGGTCAAAGACCAAAAGAAAGGAAAGCAAAACTTATAGTAATTAAGGTGCTGAATCAGAAGTAGGGAGATCCAGATTCAAGTTTGCCATTAATCATTCAGTCATAACCATTAATTGGAAAAACTCACCCAGTGGTGAGAAACTTTGGGCCAGAAAGTCTATCTCAGCTCAATCAGAGGCACCATAAAGGGGGAGGGGATCAAAAAGAGGTAATGTCAAATGAGTGTTGCTGAGATTCTTTGAACCACATATTGGGATGTTGCATAGACATGGAAAAGAAGCTGAATTGACAGCACAATGGCACAATTTTAAGGACAACATCACATCCTGAAGACTCCTCTGATTACAGTATGGTGGATTGTTGAGAAAAAAAATAAAGATGAAAGAAAGCAGCATATGCCACTCTAAACTACTGAAAGAATGATGGAATACAAACAAAACAAACTTCTGGTTATTAGGATGATTAGGGTGAAGAAATGAATACATTTAACACTATATTTTTTGCAAATACATTTTTAAAAAAATTGCTATTCTTCCATGTCAATATATCTACCTGGTGAATATGTTATCCCGATCTTCCCTCCCACTGTTAATCTAATTCAGCAAAAGTCACAGTGCTTCGTATTAGTAGTTGATACTCAAACAGTACCTGTGGTGGAGGAAGACCACCCGCTCCCAGTGGACACTCTGGTAGCATGGTGAGTTTCTTCCTAGTGCTGCATTCACATGCAGGTGAGGGGTTGTCAGGACTCCATGTATTAATCCGAAAAAGAGCAGACACATGGTAAGGGACAGGCGGTGTCCTCCAGGCCATCGATGTAGCAATGCAAGGGTAGTTACTATGCAGGGATACAAAACTCAGTGTAAACATCAAAGTGATCACACATGATTCCTGCAAAATTATTGTATTTATACTTCTCAAAAATCCAAGGGAATGCCTCCTAAATATTCTTCAAACAGAAATGAATGACATTCGGTTCTCTTCATCACAATCCTGTGGATTTTTTCCATAGAGAAACCTTATAAAAATAATTCATTTCATGTCTAATAATTAAAATTAAATTACATTTTATTTACATTTATAGTTAAATACAATTAATATCATTACCTTCCTTTTCTGTTGCATTAAAAGTTACAAACTTTTGGAGTTCTCTAGGGAATGCATTCAAGTTTTTCAAAGACTACATACAATCATAGAGTTTGAAGGAATCTCAATCTGCTCAATGCAGATTCAATCCATCCATCTCTGATTCATAACCATACTCTGTCTGAAAACCTCTAGGAACTTAGGTTGGGCAACTCCAAGTTATCAGGTGACTTTCCATATTTAAAGAGATAACTCAGGTAGCTGCTTCCTAGAATCTTCAGACTTATTTAACTTCTTTATTAAATAGCAACATAAATAGTCAGGGAAACAGTGTCTTCCTCTTTCACCATCTCCCCAGACTAGAGTAATGGATTCCATAGAATCCATACTGCCGCATAGTTCCCAGATACTGGTGAGGTCCCACAGATTGGGCCTCCTTCAGGTCCCGTCGGCCAGACAATGTCGGCTGGTGGGCCCTCAGGGAAGGGCCTTTTCTGTGGTGGCTCTGACATGGTGGAATCAACTCCCCCCCCGAGATTCGAACTACTCCCACCTTGCCGGCCTTCAAGAAAGCTATTAAAACTCTCCTGTTCCGGCAGGCCTGGGGTTGATGTCCCTGGGGGGGGGCGGGATTCGATTGGGACATGCTGTGTGAATGTATTCATTTTTAATTGTTATACTTGTTGTTTTAATTTTGTATGCCGCCCTGAGTCCCTAGGGATTGGGCAGCATACAAATTTTACGAATAAATAAATAATAAATAAATTACTAGTAAAACTGTTTGTTTTAATATATCTAGGCAACACCTATCTTTTTTTAAAAAATACACAAATGATAATACCTGGTTTTACACATCCTTCTATCCCATAGAATAGTTTGTTTTGTGCTTAGCACAAGCTGTAAGCCCAGTAGTTGTACAACTGTACATCTATTGTGTCAACTCTGAAGCTATGTTGGTTGGTATTCACATTTTAGGTTTCCACTACCTGTGTTTCCCTGAAAATAAGACTGGGTCTTATATTCATTTTTGCTCCAAAAGAAGCATTAGGGCTTATTTTCTGGTTAGGTCATATTTTCAGGGAAATATGGTACTAAAATGCATCCATCTGGCCAGCGATCTTAATTGGGGTTTTTTGGGGGGGCTTATAATAAATCATCCTAAAAAAAATCATGCTAGGGCTTATTTTCCGGTTGGGTCTTATTTTCAGGGAAACACAGTACATTAACACCCAGCTCTTCTTCACTTCATATTTTGTTTTATCCTTTGATGCCACTATCAACTTTGTATTTTCTTCAAATCATACTTTTACTCAATGTTCAGAAGGCAAATCTTTCTGGGGTTATCACCCTCCTGTTTATTCCTATGTATTATGGCTGATTGCCAAAACAAAATAACTAAAATGAACTGTTTGCTCCTTTGGGGGTAGTATTTGTTCCAGGGAGGACATCAAAAAGTAAGACAGCTTGCACTATTTTTAATGTGTGTGGGCTGAAATTCCTTAGGTTAGATGCAGCACAAAACTCCCATCTCTTAGAAGACAATGCAAGGAGAAAATGAACAGATGGAAAGAGAAGTAAAAAACAAACACTTAAACAAACTATTCCCAAGATAGTGCCTTCCAGATATGTTAGCATTCAGTCTGTAGAATTTACAACCAACATGAACATCAGTTTATTTAGATGAAATTTTGTATACATTTAATTATAAATCTACTTAAAACCAAATAGTTTTATTTCTAATAGATGTGGTAGAAGTAACTCATATGAATCTAGCCAGATTTTCTTAATGTTATTTCGTGATTGTAAGCAATCTCGACAGACTGATCAATTAAAATAAAAGCTATGTCATCTTTATTCTGTTATAAAATATCTATAACCAAGTGATTTAATCTCACCACCCTATTTCTTCCTCAGTGCAGTTCTTCTATTAGGAGTCTTGCAGCACACATTGGAAAAGAAATCCAGGGAGGCAGTAACGCTATAGGTAAGGCAATCAGTAATCATCGGAGGATAAGAATATAGCGTACAAGATAAGTTCCACATTTAGTCAGTGATAGAGATCAGTGGGACTTAATCTGGTTGTGATTAACCAAAATCTCTTTCATTCCGTTGGATGTAATTTAAAACCATCTATTGTTCATAGGCTCTTGCTTAATGTTGTGGGATGAAGGGACTTTATCTTGTTAAAAACAGTGTGTGTGTGTGTGTGTGTGTGAGAGAGAGAGAGAGAGAGAGAGAGAGAGAGAGAGAGAGAGAGAGAGAGAGAGAGAGACAACTTACTGAAGGGGTTCTTTCTTCAAGCAACGATTTCCAAATCCTGGTTTCTTTAAAAAGGCATCACTAAGAGAAACCATTTGTTCACTGCCAGGCCGTTCATTGCTAATGAGATTGGGTGAGATTTAGGTTATAAAAAGAGATTAACTACAGAAGAATACAACTGCAAATGAAAACCATCAGAATCGCTGCAGATATTACTAATTAACTACCCAATTTTAGAAGAGTCCTGTACGTTTCATAAAGATTACAAATTTTTTTGTTTTTAAATTTACATTGTTGTTTGCCACAAAGTTTTAATTTCTCAAAGACATGATAAGCAAAGACGTGCACGCATAGTCCTGGTTAACAAATGGGAAATAGTTTTATATAAAAGGTAAGATAGTAGGGTACTTGTGACTGAACAGCCTGCTCATCCAACATTCCCCCCCCCAATTCATTCTAATGTTATTGTTTTTTATATGCTGTCAAATTTGCATGGACTTTTAGTAACTACATGGAAGCCCTTCTCCAGAATTATCTGGCCCCATGTTGCGCCCATCAGTACTGCAAACGAATCCGTCCACAGTGTTCCTGGTACTAGACTTAGGTCAACGCAACATCATATCTCAGCAAAGTGAAAAAAAAATTATCTAGGTATGAGTCAGCCTTCTTTCTGGAAAACTAAATATTCATATAATTCATGGGTCAGGGATAGATTGTAATCCATCAAAACTCTAATTACTTAGTGTTTCTTTGTACATTTTTAAAAAAGACAGCTCCTTTCTCCATATATTAAGAGATTTTAAAAAAAAAATCCTGGGAAGCAAAAGTCTGAGGATGGAGTGGGGGCAACCTCCTGAAACTCAGCCTCTGAAAACTGAGAAATGAACAAATGGAAAGAGAATCATAGTTGATATTTGGCTATGATGCAAATAGGGAAATGTTGCTCATATATGTGATCTTCAGCTGAATGATACAGTCTAGCTAATATCTGATCTTGAATGTCAGTCAGGGGCAGATCAGGTTAGAATATGGATAGGGATACACTGAAAACCCCCACAGATCTATATATGTAAGACTACTGTTAAAGTAAAAAATAATGTAGAAAAAAAACAAGAGCAAAGAAGAGTTGCTCAGAAAATTACATGAACTTGCCCATGAAATCACGAGGAATTAAACTCAACTTGAATAATAATATATATTTTCTCCTCCATTTACAGAACTGTATTATGTTGCATCAGGTTAAACTGTTATGCTAATGTATTGCAATAATCAGAACTGGCTCTCAGCAGCTTACAGTGCAGTTAAAATAAAAATATTTACAGAAAAACAAGAAGGAAGAGCAATAATCAATAAAAGTATAATATGTTTACGATTATGAATATGGTATGGCCATAAATGACAATTATTCCCATTTATTTAGCCATACCTTATCTACATAATTTCTGTATCTCACAGTTTAGCTACTTAGAGAAATATGTTCAAGAGCTAAGCAAAGTCAGCAATAGGTATAGACTGGTTTAAAACAGAAATCTGAAAAGGAATATCTTACAGAAAGGACTGGATTAGCTAGCATCTGTGCTAGCCAGAATGTAGGAAACATCAGAGACAAAATTACTTCAAAAATAAACATACTAAGGAATCCTCTGACCTGAAGAAAGTAAACTGATGTCCATAGATCCAAGGGTGGAGGGTTAGACTGGGATATTCACCAAATGGAGGGATGATGACTGTAAGTATCAGAGCCAGCAACACAAAGCTAGCAGGTAGAACAATCTGCCAGCAATATGGAATATGTCAGATACCTGCTTTCAGACAGTATTCTATTAATAGCAATAGCAACAACACTTAGATTTATATACCGCTTCACAGTGCTTTACACCCTTCTCTAAGTGGTTTACAGAGTCAGCATATTGCCCCCAAACAATCTGGCTCCTCATTTTACAGACCTCAAAAGGATTGAAGGCTGAGTCAACCCTGAGCCGGTGAGAATCGAACTGGTGGCAGTCGGCAGAATTAGCCTGCAATACTGCATTCTAACCACTGCAATACTGTATTCTAACCATTAATGTCTACGTCAGATATAAGACACAAGAAGATTCTAACCATTAATGTCTACATCAGATATAAGACACAAAAGATCCAGAGTGGATACTTTTGTGCTGGAAATCTATCTAATCCTGATTGTAATTCACCCCAAGCATCAAACATGTGGTTACCCAGTAAATCTCCATTTCTACATTTCTGGTTTTTTTTTTTAAATCCTCCCATAGTTATGGAAGAACACATAAATAAGGTGTTCTTACTAATGGCTTCTCGGTTATATAAGATAAGGCTAAAAAAGCCTAGGAAGCTGCATTGATTAATCTAGTTTAGTATTGCTGACCAGTGGCTTTCTAAGCTTTTGGATAGACTTTCCTGGATCTGGAACCACTATATGAAGAATACGTGCAAACTATTGCCAAACTCTCCAGGATATAAGTAACTAGCCAAAAGAGTGTTCTAAGCTACGTATGTATGGTATAAATTCTCACTCTAAGTCTAGGACATTTTTATTCATTTATTATATTTATGTCTAGCTTTTCTCCTAGGCATTCAAAGCAGGGTATATGAGGATTTTGTTTCATTTTATTTTCACAACAATAACCTTGCAAAATAGATTAGTTTCAGAGAGAGTACAAAGGGTCCAAAAGATCCTTGTGAGCTCCATGTTTGAGGGAGACCTGAATCTGGATCTTTTTGATCCCAGCCCAACATTTTAATCACTGAATACTTAAAATACCGAACAGGGATAGTTGATTCTATAATATAGACCACGGGTGTCAAACTCGCCACGTCACATGACGTGTCGCGACATATCGCAATTCTTTTTGCATTGCCGGCAATGGGGTGGGCGCAGATTCGGTATGATGAAACCGGCTGGCAGGCTGGCAGTTGACACTTCTGATGTAGACTCTGGACATAGAACTATAACAGACTTCTTCATTTGGAAAAAAAAATAGTAAGCATGTACCTGAGCCAAGAAGTCTTTGATACTACGGGTGGTATGATGGAAACGTTTGACGAGAAGAGCTTTAATCTGCTGAAGTATAAGCTGGCCACCTTTATTTTGCCAAGATCCTTTTCCATTATCCTTATCTCCATCCAGAGGAGCACAACTGTTTGTTGAAGCTCTTTGGGAGATTCCTTCTTTGGCCCCAGCAGAAGTATTCTCCTGTGCAGCTCCTGGATTTTACAAATCAGAATGCCCATGCCGATTTTGTTTAGGGCACAATGAAAAATATTTTAGTCCCACAAGTCAGAGATCCCTTTATTCCTTCAAGACTGAAGTTTAGACATTATAACAATAGATTTCTAAAGTCTGAACATCAGTCTGTGAACTGTCTTTACAGTTTACTCTAAACCAGTGGTTCTCAACCTGTGGGTCAGGACCCCATTTGGGGTCGAACGACTGTTTCACGGGGGTCGCCAAACAACACAGTCCGCCATTTTTTTCCCCTTTTCCTTAGCTGTGCTACTCCCTTTTATTCTATTGGCTTTCGAAAGCCAATAGAATAGACTCTCTTGAATAGTGTCTAATTCTATTGGCTTTCAAAAGCCAATAAGAATTGTCCAGGCTGTCTCTGCTCTGCTGAGCCCGCCAAAAGTCCCATTCTGCAAATGGTGCTGCACCAGTTGAGTAGTCCTCGACTTACGACCGGTTGAGTAGTCCTCAACTTATGACCGGTTGGGGGTCGCGGCATTAAAAAGGTTGAGAACCACTGCTCTAAACCATTTATTTAGTGACTGAGATTACAACCACACTGAAAAAAAATGACTAATACCTGGTCCTCACACTTACAACCATTGCAGCATCCCCCACAGTCAAAATTTGGGCATTTGGCAACCAGCATGCATTAACGATAGTTGCAGCATTCCAGGATCATGTGATCACATTTGCGACCTTCTCAGTTGGCAAAGTTAATGGGGAAAGCTAGATTCATTTAATGACCACTTGGTACACCTTAACAACTGCAATGATTCGTGTAACAAGTGTGGCAAAAAAGATCCCAGTTGTCATAAGTCAAGGAATATATATATATTGGGTATTTTCAGAAACATATCCTCTTTTCTTGATATAGGAATGTTTCCTAAATTATGGAAGAGACAGTGGAAAGCATGAGGTGGAGACAGGAAGTACATGATTTGAGTGACCACTACTGTACTGAATGTTATAGGTAGTAAGAGATATACCGGAATTAGCAGCTAAATTTGTAGTATTAAAATATGGGAGACTTTTCACAACAACTTTGGCTTTCAGAGACTTGATCATGGAATATATACCTGTATTGGGTATTCCAAGGTCAGCCTCAGCTGTAACCTTCAAAAAAACCTGAAAGACAGATGCATGAGAAGATGCTGTGTGGAAGCAAAGTAAGCGCTGGCATCTTTAGACATATTCCCCTCCCCCCATGCAACATAAGTGAAAAAATCTTGCTCTTCTCGTTTTATTTTTAATCAATGTTTAAAAAACTCAAAAAGAGTACAAAATATTCTAAAAAAAACAGGGTAATAGGAAGAAATATACTAACTATAGTATAAAGTATAAAGTTAGCATATGATCATACTAACTATCCCATCTTTATCCCCTTTATTCCTTTAACCTGATATCTTTAGTTTGGTGTCTTCAGATGTGTTAAATTACAACTCCTGTCTTCCCACCAAATAGTTCTAATTTAATAATTATTATTACTATAGCAATATTTGTTACTACAATGCAGAAAAAATAACTGCCCTATATAAATGATTTCTACCTCTCCAAAAACACAAACAACTGGCATTCATCCAAAATAGGATAGCAAGGACTGGACCAAGGTAAAACTGTTTGAATATCTGAAGATTACCAACCTCTTCAAGCGGTGTATCTGAGATCCCAAAACTGCTGAGTCCCACGTCAGCCAGGGTTTCCTCTAATTCTCTGAAAAGACTGGAATAGGCTCGTTCTTTAAAATTCTTATTTGGTAGAAGATAGACAAGTCCCTGACCAATTCTTTCAATTAACTGTGCCTCTGGAACATGATGGTGGATAATTTCATTCAGTTCATTCACATTACCTAGTTGAGGAAATAAAGGGAATTATTTATAGATCAGCTGTATATTATTAGATCTATAAAAGGAGGTGAGAGAACTTGGTGATCTTCTGAACTTGATTGCTTGCTTGGCAGATGTTTTGTTATCCAAGTAACTTTGTTAGTGTGAGTGTGGGGTCTACCCAGTGGTAGGATTCAAATATGTGAACAACCAGTTCTCTGTGTGGATGCCACTTCCGGAAGTTCATTCTGGGCCTGGGCAACAAAAAATTAGCTACCGGTTCTGCCAAACTGGTGCAAACTGACTGAATCCCACCACTGGGTCTATCTGTTTATTTATAGTAGCTTGCCCTGCCAGTTCTGGTAGTTCCTTGATTAGGGTATTTTTTCTTGCTGGATTGCAACTCCTCCACCCCTCAGAACTGGTAGGGCAAGTTTCTGCATACTGTATAAAGAAGGAGCAGACCCCATACTCACTCACATGGATGATGTTATCTAGTTGGGTAATGAAATGTCTGAAAGCAAACAACCAAGCTCAAAGAGCACCAAGGTCTCCACAGTTCTGAGCTATACAGTATATATTCTTTTCTACAGGGAGATGAGAGAGAATAGCCACTTTCATTCTATTCACCATGACCCTTGGGGCTCAGTCAATGATATTTCAAGGATCACACTATCAGGTATTTATCTGCTTGTTTGTTTGTGTATTTATTTAATATCCTGCCTTTATTTTATTTACAAATCACTCAAAGTAGCGAATATATCCAACACATTTTCCTCCTCTTTTCCCCACAACAACTCTGTGAGGTGAGCAAGGCTGACAGAGTGTTTGAGAGCCATCCAGCTGGCTTTCATGGCTAAGGCAAGACTAGAACTCAGAATCTCCTGCTTTCTAGCCTGATGCCTTAACCACTAGATCAAACTGGCTCTCTCAAATAGAGTCAAGAATGACGGTTTATAATTTCCGCAAGTGCCATATTAACTTAAAGCCATAAAGCAGTGAGAGCTGCGGATTTTCCATTCAAATCGCAACTCCTTGGTAAATGTATCTATATGAAAGTTTACACATGCTTTGTATTCACAAATGCTATTTGAAAAAAAATAAAATAAAAGGCGAATTGAAGAAAAAGGCAGAGGAGAAATCATCATCATTCTCATTTAATAACAACTAAAGCAGAAGATAAATGTGTTGATTTCAGTTGTACACATTCTAATAACTATAGAAATCCTTGATCAAGAGTCATTTGCTCAAAAGTTGGAATTGTGAGTAATGTTGGGATTACAAAAAGTAGTCCAAAATGACATAATGTGTGTATAATAGAAACACAAGCATCCTGCTGAACACAAATAGCCTTTTATGCCAGAGGCCTCCAAGGAGAGTTTTATCACAGCCACTCCCCGATGGTTTTTCTAAACATCTTGTCCTCTGAAACTCTATTTACTTATTATGCCTAATAAACGCCGATAGACCCATTGTTTGTGAAAGTGAGTAAGCCAGTTCCATGTTGTAACGTTGTGCAATGAACATGTGACATAAACCCTGTTCTTACCCTCCAGCTCCTCTTCAACACTACCCTCTTTGTCCACAGATGCATAGCAGCTGGAGCAGGAACAGGAACATTTGGATCCTAGGCTACAGGAGGTCTGAAAGAAGACAATATTATCCGCCTTTTCAGTATGTTCATATTACGGAATACATATAATTACACGGTGTGAACATTTCCAGCTTTTTCCTTAATCTTAGGGAAAATATATCTGTGTGAGCTAAGACTCAGCTCAGGACCCATGAGGTTGCAGATCTAGAATAGCACCTCAGTTATAATATGAACAGTTTTAATAAATATATATTTATTACCGATAGTCCTCGTCTTAGAACCTTTCATTTAGTGACTTTTCGAAATTACAACAGCATTGAAAAAAAGGGATTTACAACTGATTTCTCACATTTACAACTGCTGCAGCATCCCCGTAATTGGGTGATCCAGACTCAGGCGTTTGGCAACCACATATATTTACAACAGTTGCAGCATTCCACTTCCAACAAACTAAATCAATGGAAAAATCCAGATTCACTTAACGACTGCACGATTCACTTAACAACTGCAATGATTCACTTAACAGACATGGCAAAAAAAAAGATTGTAAAATCAGGCATGGCTCACCGAACCACTGCCTTGCTTAGTGGCAGAAATTCTGACCCCACTTAAGGTCGTAAGTTCGAAGACTACCTATAGTTGACTTCTAGGCAATTGCTACATATTGGCAATGGGGCATTTTATTTAAAGTTCCAAAAAGGAATATATAACCTTCATAAAGGAATAAACTATTCTTCAAAACAATAACGACAAAAACTAAACCTTTCCAAAAAAGGAATTAAAAACTTACACACTAGGTAATTTAAAAGGTACTTTGATCTTAAACTGTTATCCTACAAATTCCTGGTGAACAACACATCTCTTCAATTATTACCTCAAAAAAAAAAAAAAAGTGGAGCTGCCCCTTTTGGAATGTTTCATTATTGGTGTGTGGTCACTGACAAGGCTCTACTTCTGCCTATCAGACTATCCGTCATGATACAGGAGATGAATAGCTCCTTCTCAGCTGCTTTTAGTTTAGATTAGGTGTTATTGGGTGAGATGTTTAGGACTAAGCCTTTTATAATATATAGTCTTAATGCAGGGGTGCCCAACCTTAGCAATTCCCCAGCCCAGTTCTGGGAATTGAAGTCCACAAATCTTAAAATTGCCAAGATTGGACACCCTTGGTGGGTTTGGTAGCTGAGAGGCGAACAGTACAGGACTAGTACCACTAGCGGCTTCTCCCTTGAGATCAGCTTTAAGAAAATAGAAGAAAGGATATTTTATATCCCTTTGCCAAAATTTAGAAATACAGAACGCACAAATGTTGTCCAGTCAGGAAACATAAGGCCTAGATATAGAACCATGCTATATCTATATGTTGATGTTTTTTAAAATGTCAATTTCCCTGATGACACCAACAAAGTCAAATCTTTAGATTAAAAGTGGTTGATTAGGGGAAAGAGAATGCAAGGAAAAGCAAGGGAAGATTACTGACACACAATGAGAATTCAAAACAATCAAATACAATCAGGCTAACCTAACTGAACTAGATATTTATCATATCCTTGAATAAGATACTTGGTTTCAACACATCCAGGCTGTTCACAAGAGGTTTACCCTCCATTTCCAATTCCTCTTCCCCCCCCCCCCTCAGTTTAGAGAATATGGAGGATAATTAAAAGCCATCCTTTTGGGGGGAACAAGTTGCCATTTTGCTCATAAAATACTCTGCTCTGAACTCACGAGCCTACCTAGCAAATCAGGATTTGCTAATGTCTATAAACCACCTTCCTAGTGACTCCTGATGGAATGATAATGGTCCCATCTAGATTCCACTAGTTAAGCCACTCTATTAATGGGAAGCAACGTTTTTGTAAGTTTTCTGTTAATTCAACTTCCCCGATGCTTAGGGGGCACTATTGCGCCATATCAAAAACTACAGTAGGTACTTATCATAAGGCAAACAAAATGAAATTGAATATGAAACTATAGAAGTGCCTGGGAGGAATGCCTTTGGAGCGGGAATAATGATAATATGGGTACCAACCATGCCTTCCTGGATGGAGCTTCTTAGGTGGAATCCCACAACTCAAAAAGCCTCCTTTCTCAGTAGCCATCCACCTCATTTCTATGGGTGGGACCTCTTGAACTTTGAACTGGGCGTGGAAATATAGTTGCACCATCTGATTAGCTAGTCCCAGTTAGAACATCTGCAGCACAATTTTGGAGTGATTCAAGTTTTTGACCCATCGTCAAATATAAACCCAGACACAAGGTACAGCAGTTATCCAAACATATTTAGTTTTTAATTATACTGCAGTTATACAGGCAATTAATTCTTTGTCCTTTCAATCTACCAGTTCTGTTACCCACTCTACCCTACTTTTATGTGACTTATCTACTTATTTTGTTTCTCTCCCTTTCTCTTTCAACTTAAGTGTATTCCTTCCTAAGCTCCACAGCTTCAATGTAACTCTTTAACTATCTCTCCCCCACCAACCACTATCAACCAAGATTCCTCCATCAATGACTTGAATTGTTTATAAAAACAATAACAGTGAGATATGAATAAATACATATTCTGTGGCACTATCATTCTTTTGCTGTTTGCAGACTATTTGCGCAAAAACGGTGCTAACCACTTACTTCATTCTTTTGACCATTTTCAACATTTTTCATCTTGCGAACCAAGGTGAGATAAAAGCCTGATCCAAAGGAGTTCTTTAAGAAAACAGGCGATCCTGAGCAGTGCAACTTTCCTCGGGAAACGATGGCAATGCGATCTCCAAGGATATCGGCCTCGTCCATGTGATGGGTAGACAGTATGATGGTTCTGCCTGAGAGGAAGCAACAGATCTGTCAAGCATCCTTCGGGCATTCAAAATTTGTACCTGGGATTGATGCAGAGGAGTGTACAGATGTGCACACAGGAACCCTTTATCCTGGCCATGTCATGCTATTTCAAACATGGATAACCTGTCAGGATGAGGATGAGGCAGAGAGAAGGACACGCAATGTTTACATCTCCCCATTTTTTTCAAATATCTACATTAGAAGTGGGCAATCTTTTTGTGCCACAAGGCACAAAATGTTGAGAACAATTGACTTAGGACTGTAATTGAGCCTGGAATTATAGTAGTAAGTGATCACATGACTGCACCCAGTTTTACAACCATTTTTGCCTAGGATTGCTTTCCCATGGCTTAAACACCCTATAATATTTTGATTGTACAGAGATCAAGAGAAACGACATTATTTTGTCCTGAAACACAGCAGAAAAAGTTTACTGGAAGAATTTGAACATTCCAGCTGAATCTGGAAAGGTTTCTGGCTTGCAGAGGTCTATGGGAACTTAAAATACTTATCATTTATAAACTAAAAAAGGCAGAAGTATTACAATCATACGAAGATCTAAACAGCCACTGTACATCATATGACAAAAATCATATGACGGATTTCTAATAGAGGCTTTCAAGTTTGAGCTATTTCTCTGGATAAGCAAAGCAAGGTCTTCATTGTGGTTTGAACTTCAGATTTTGCTAGTTCCTAACTTGATTTGCTCATACTTAAAAAAATTCCGATTTAATTTTTATTAAATGTAAGAAGAAAAAACAAGGGAAAGCCCCACTTCATACATATATATATATATATATATATATATATATATATATATATATATATATAAAGTCAATCATACATATATGCTGTACAGGTAGTTCTTGACTTATGACCAAAATTTCTGTTGCTAAGTGAGACATTATTAAATGAATTTTGCCCCATTTCTTGCCAGAGTTGTTAAATGAATCACTGCGGTTCAGTTAGTAACATAGTTGTTAAGTGAATCTGACTTCTCCATTGACTTTGCGTGTCAGTTGTCAAGTGTCAGAATTTTGATCATGTGACCATGGGAATACTGCGATAACCGTAAGTGTGAAAAATGGTCATAAGTCACTTTTTCAGTGATGTTGTAACTTTGAACGGTCATTAAATGAACAGTTGTAAGTCGAGGACTACCTGTATTCATTTCATGTTCTGCAATTAAATTATTAACTAATAAGTCAATTAACTAAAATAAAGAAATCAATATTATAAACATTATCTCCCAGCTTTTTTTCACCTCGTTTCTTGAAACATAACACTTCAGAAAACCTTACTCAAAAGGTACCCTTAACTCGTGAATAAACATGCGTAATATAGATAGTATTATTAACTAAGCAATAAATGCCCAGTTCAGGAAAAAAAGGACAATTGCTATAAAACCACAAAAATTCACAGGGAAAGTAACTTCATTAAATTAACTGAAGTTTATAATAGTTTTATAATTAAAGTTTTATAATAGTTACAAGCTATTGTATTTGACATAATGAAACAAATGAAATTAATATTTTTCTGGCATTTTTCAGATCAACATGTCTATTGCTTTTACATAATAATCCAGCATTGCTTTTATTAAATGAAATATGACCATCCATTAATTTTATTTATCCAAATAATAGTTTCCCCCATGGCTGAGTACCCAGTTAATAATGAGGAAAGGGTCAAGTGTATCTGTCAAAACACTGCCCATATATAATTAGTTATATCTTAACAGCCTTAAGTTTTAGACTACAAAGGCTTGTCAAACAATAAAGCAAGACAAAATATGTAAAGTTGCATGATAGAGACAGGTGTTATTTTCCACCTTCCCACTTTGGTGGAGAATGTGTGTCATCTTGTCATTTTTAGTCACAATAAACAAGCTAATGGCTTTCCAATGCATTTGGAAAGATGAAGGGGCATTGACCTAACACCATAAAGTCCATGAACTTTATGATTGCTACTTTTTCATTTTAATGGGAATCCTATTTTCAGAAGAAAAATATAATTATGGGTACATAGACAATAAGAGAGAGTCAGTTTGATGTCCCTCAGCCCAACCCACCTCAGGTTGCTGTTGTGGAGAAAATAGGAGGAGAAAGTGTGTTGGATATGCTCACTACTTTTAGTTATGTCATAACAGCCTTAGGTTTTAGACTACAAAGGCTTGTCAACCAATAAAGCAAGAAAAAATATGTAAAGTTGCACGTTAGAGACAGGTGTTATTTCCTACCTTCCCCCTTTGGCGGAGAATGTGTGTCATCTTGTCACGAAAGAAAGAAAGAAAGAAAGAAAGAAAGAAAGAAAGAAAGAAAGAAAGAAAGAAAGAAAGAAAGAAAGGCTTTTTGTGCAGCTGCTGTGAAATATACAACATACACTCAACCCAGAGGAAACATACACACCCGAACTGTTATAAAATAACTCATGATTTATATAGTGCTATATAAAGTTGCTTTAAAGCCAGAGCTACTTTTTTAAAAATAAAATTACCTGAGCGGTATTTCAGAAGGAGATCCCAAATAGAGTGTCTGGAGTATGGATCCACTCCAGATGTAGGCTCATCTAGAACTATTACTTTTGCTTCACCCACAAAAGCAATGGCAATAGATAGTTTCCGTTGCATGCCACCTAAATAAAGGAAATGGGGAAAAAAATCTTAAAACATGCATTTTTATCCAAGAAAGGG